ATCAAAATGTTTAACAAAATACCTTTTTTGCAATTTCTTCAAATTCTTTGCGTATCTCCCCTTCAGAGGAGATAACTCTGTCAACTGGTCTGTAGTTATCAAAGATTTGGCTTTCGATGTGATCACTGGTCTCATCGCCTGTAATCCTCATACGAACCAAATCTGGAAATTTGGTTTGAATTAAATCCCTATAAAAACGAATAAATCAATTAATTTGGTGCTAATTCTGATTTAACGGTGTAAACCATTTCTGCCAATCAATCAAATTGTTGTCATTGTTTTTGGCTCTTCGGGCCCAACAACTGATCCGTAAGCGACAGAAAGGACACAATAGATTAACCATTTCTATGGACTTCTTATAGCAATCCAAACACAAGTGATGACTACAAGGAAGCTGTCAATAGATTAGGACTACAATTAATAAGAGTTGCAAATAATTAGACTCATTATGAAGACTAACGGTCACCGGATATAAGAGTATTGATTTACAAATGCCGCAAATCAATTGCTCCAATTGATCCATCACTTCATGTCTGTTGCTTTGCTCATCATTTTGTGCGTCTAAATGATCGCTAATATTCATCACAATTACAAACAATACAAACAAACTTAATATTTGTTCAAATAATTAAATTTTTGGTTGAATTGCTGAGAAAACGAGCGCTTCTTTCATTGCTTTCAATGCCTTACAGTTTGTCTCGCATTTGTTGCACAGGTATTGTCGTTACAGCTCTAACATTGTCCACATTCTGTCGGCCTTACAGTTAACAATCAATTCTTGCTTATAATTAAAGCCTATTTTGCAAATAAACTAATTAAATATATGTTATACATCTTTGTAACTATTTTAATCTTCAATTATTGTCTTTCATTTGATTACAACAATAATTTCATTAAAAGTTGTCAAAAGTTTCAAATAAAACTTAATCTACATTTTACTCATTTACTAATCAATTAAATCTATTGTAAATATTTTCAATTAATGTTTTCATCATTTTATGCTTTAAGACTTAAAGTTTAAGTATTGCTCGTATGAGTAAACTGTGATTAATTGAATGAATTTAGTAGATATTAATTCATTAGTTTGACTTTATATTTCACAACTTGTGAATCACAACACTAATCAGTGATTAGTAATCACATAAATATCAAAATTTTAAAAGTAAATTAAAACTTCAAATATTGATTTGTTTTTTAAATTTTATTAATTAATAAATGAATATGAATTTAGTAACAAATTTTTATCACAAATAATGGCAAACATTGAGATACATTATAATTTGAATGAGAAATGTATTGAGAATTAATGTAAGTCTAAATTATGGGCTAATCTTAGGCGAGACTATCGTAAATGTGTGGAAAAGTGGTCACAACTCTTGCTTCGAGTGTTTGCTAAACTTCCCATAATATGGTTTGTTTTCAATCATCACTTCTTCGCACAACTGCTGCTCCACGAAGAAGTCCTTCGCATCCCAGGCCTGAGCGCCGTCTTTGAACATAAAGATAGCTCTGTTGTCACTAACTATGAATCGCTCGGCAATAATGTGGTTATTCTGAAGACTTGATTGCCATAAAGCGGTCACGCGTTCCGTTTCTTCCCGAGTGGGACCTCCGCTGACGGTTACGAAACTCATTAAAGTCTTTCCCTTTTTGGACACTTTGAGAAGGCTTTCAGGATTGGAGAGATCGGCCGAAGACAAGTCGATGGGAGGACTGGTCTTGAGATGTTCGGGCAGTTCGTCGTTGTCGAGCGGCTCCTCGTCTTCTTCCCACTGATCGTAAAGGCGCTGAATGTCTGCATCCGAGTAATCCCTCACATCTTTCTGCGCCCACAACGGCTTCGACCCCGAGTCAGACCGCTTGCACAACACGGGAGACAAACAAACCAAACACAGACACAACACTACCGCTGATGTGTACTTCATTTGTCACTTCATTCACTCCTAAGTCAACACAATTAACAACTAATCAAAGAGCGGTTCAATGAGACAACAAAACACAACACACCTTACACTCCGACAAATCACATGTTTTGCCCCCTTTTGCCCCCAAAACTGCTTTATTATTGTTGAACACAAATGACGGCTCGCTTTCTAATGAGTGTATAATATTTATGGATGACTTGTAAGTGATTGTCAAACACTGACAGTCAGACTGAGTCAATGACTGACAGTTGTATTGTTTGTTCATATATTTGAATTAATTGTCAACAAAATGATTGTCATTACTCTTCAGTCACGCTATCATTGAAACCAATCTTCGAGACAAACAATGGCCGGAAGTTTTTGGCAGAGCTCTCATTTGTAAGACACGGAGTGATCATTGATTGAAAGCACTAATTGTATGTCATTTCAGCCAACAATGGCTACTCACACGTCAAGACTTGTCTCGGGAGAGACACCAAGACTTGCAGATTGTGACCGAAGAAGAATATCACAAACTGATGATCTTTTTCGCCAATTGTAAGCCATTTGATGCCATTGTTTGGTATAATGTTAATGAATGTGTTGTTTAGTGATACAGGCATTGGGAGAGCAGTTGAAAGTGAAACAACAAGTGGTGGCCACAGCCGTCGTCTACTTCAAGCGTTTCTACGTTAGAAACTCACTCAAATGTATTGACCCGTTGCTTATGGCGCCCACCTGTGTCTTCTTGGCCTCCAAAGTAGAGGAATTCGGTGTCATCTCTAATAACCGTCTCATCTCCACGTGTCAGACCGTCGGTCAGACTCTAACACATTCATCATTAAAACTAAGAGATTTTAAATGAACTATATTTTCAGTTAAGAATAAGTTTTCGTATGCCTTTCCGCAAGAGTTTCCCTATCGAATCAATCACGTCCTCGAATGCGAATTCTATCTCTTGGAAATGATGGTCAGTATTGCTATTCAATTGTATCTTTAATTGAACTC